ATAGATAGATAGATAGATAGATAGATAGATAGATAGATAGATAGATAATGATAGATAGATTAGATAGATGCTCACAAGAATATATAACAAGCAAATAATAAGCAAACAAATAAAACAGGGGCTAGAGAGATGGCTCAGACATGAACATTTGTTGCTCTTGCAGACCACCTGGGTTCAGTTCCCAGTTCCCACATGGTAGCTCACAACCATCTGTAACTCCAGTTCTGGGGTGTCCGATGCCCTCTTTTGGCTTCTGTGGGCACTAGCCACACACGTGCTGCACAGATACGTGTGCAGCCAAAACACCCGTCACATAAAATAAAATTTTAAAAATATTTTTTAAAAAGTTTTATTCAAAGAGGAAGGGGGCCACACTGTGTTTGTTTATACTTTTTAAAAGTATAATCAGGCCACGTGAAATTTTCTTAAGAGTGAAAGGACATAGAAGCATCACATCTCAAACAGAAGCAAAGAACGGAGTCATTTAAGAACTGTAAAGCCCATTGTGTTCTGGCCCCTTATCAAAACGGGAAAAAGAGCTACAGTAGCTGGCTGTTCCTATTGAGCCACTCCTGGATCAGTTAAGCCTGTGAGGTGGGTTCGGTTTAAATGGAGCCTTTTAGTCAGGCCAGAGGTGAAGACCGACACGGAGCTTGTATGAGCTGGGGAAAGAAAGGACTTATTGTGCGCCTTCCTGCAGCGTCTCCTCTGAAATTCTATGCCTTTCTCCAGATCGTTTGATCATGACAGAGGCAAGAAAACTTGAACCACAGGAAACCCAAACCTGCTACAATTATGTAAGAGTTTCCAGTGGCCTGTTGGCTTGAAACTTGGTTGCTCTTGCTGTTGTAACCCAGTTGAATGAGATGGATGGAGCCACAGACCTCAGGCTTCAGCCATGTCACGTGCTGGGCTCAGTTCCCTGCTATCCACTAAGGCCGCCATCATGTCTGAAAAAGGGAGTGGGTCATTTTAGTCAGGTCTCTCATCCACAGCCCCTGCTTCTCCAGTCAGTCTGCCTGGTAGAGATGTATGTGTATAAAAGGTTGCTGTACGTGAAGTATTTCCAGTGGCTGCCATCATCTGTGAGCAGTCGTCTTCCCTCTGTCTAATTAAATTCTGGCCACACCTCCCAACCGGGTTAACTTATTACTGTTTGTTTGTTTGGGTTTGTTTTGAGGGAGTGGAAATGGCACATCCAACAAATGACACGATCATATACAACCAACACCACAGGCATGCTGAGATTTAGGCAGCAAAAGCAAACGGTGAGCACTTGGGAAGTAAATTATGACAAAACTCTTAACTGTTCATTTTTAATGGTTGTCAAAATCGCCCTCTTCTTTTTGTTTTTTTTTTGAAGCGGTGTCCCATAGCTCAGGCTGGCCTCCCAGTCAAAATGTAACCAAGGCTGATGTGGAACTCCAGACCCTCTTGGAACTCCAGATCTTCCTCTCTCTCACGTACACACATTCTCTCTTTTCCCTCTCTCTGCCTCTCTCTCTCCTCTCTCCCTCTCTCTCTTACACTCTCTCTCTCTCCCTCTCCTCTCTCTCTTTCTCTGCCTTTCTCCATCTCTCCCTCTCTCCTTCTCTCCCTCTCTCCCCCTCCTCTCTCTTTCCCTCTGAGATCCCAGGCATAAGCCTCCGCCTTCTTTACGCACAGTTAGGGATTACACTCAGGGTCTGACAACTGAGCACATCCCAGTTCAGCTCTCACCAGCTTCCAGGCCCAGGCAGTAGCTACAGCTAACAGATGAGGCTAAACATCAATGCTGACTTCTTCCCTTCCGTTCCCAAACAGAAGATACTGAACGATGGTGTTATGACTGTATGTTTTTTTTATTGTAACATTTTAAAAGTAAATCACAGACAAGCCTCAGTGTGTCATTGAGAACTTAGCAGGGCTGTGCTTTGGAGAATCTGCACAGTCACAGCAGGTCAGCTCACGGGATGATCCCAGAGACAGCACAGGGAAAGTAGATACCTGCTTTTCAAGTCCCGCCACTGGCCACAGGACACGCATGCCCACAGACGTCTGCCATGAAGGGCAAAGATGAAATTTTCTTGAGTTTTTTTTTTTTTTAATGAGCCCCACCCCACCCTGCCTCACCCAGTCACCCCACATCCTGTGACTCATGAAAAATAGCTAGATAAAAACCTAGGTGTGCTTTCCAAGAAAACCCAGAAGACTTCAGGACTTGTGGTATTTTACACACCATGGTTCTAAGAGCTGGTTTTAAGTGGAGGAAGAAGACTCAGGAAGGCTGGGGAGAGACGCTGACAGCACCCAGAAGAGATTTCAGGGCACGAGTTAGGACTGGAATGCAGGGTTCGTGGTAGGCTTGATGTTAGCACACAATCTCCCGCTTTCTCCGGGCCAGTCGCCGCTCCCACCACTTTCTCTTCAGTGTCTCTTTCAAGAGCACAACCTCTAAAACCTGCTGGTTAACAGGCTTCCTGTGTCCACAACCCTGACGCCCTAGACAGGAAAACAGGGAGAGGGAAAGAAGCAGCAAAGACACAAGGGACCAGGAGAAGAAGTGTAATGTGAAAAGAGGAGACCGGTGCTCAGCCAAGCAAACAGTACTCTGCCCGAACCGGGGGCCCGTTTCCTCCTAAATCAAATTAAAGTGCCTTTGTTGTGGTGGTGGGGGTTTGCTTTGTTTCAAGTGTATGATTACATGTGCTCACTCTGCTAGCCTAGAGGTCTCCGCAATGATCCAAAACCAATTACACACAGAGACTTTCCCAAGGGAAACAGCAGGGTAGAGCGCGCTGGCTAGGGGTGGGTGGGAGTGGGGTTGACGTAGCTGGGCACAGCATGCCGAGTGGTCAGTTCCCGGAGCTTAGGTGTTCTGCTTACACAGATTAATGCTGTCTGCTTTAA